GCAGCCCCACGTGCCGCTGGCGGGGCCCGATCCCGTGTGCGCTGCCGGGGTCCCGACGCCCCGATCTCCGCGTTACAGCGCTGCGGCGTGTGACCCGGCTGTCTGGGCCTTGTTCACCGATCCTCTTTTCATGTGTTTTCTTAGAGGCGACCGATGTTACCGGCTGAGCGGTGCCTGCCCCCAGTGCTCCCGGCCTGAGTAACCAGCTGGACCACCAGGTTCCAGCTGCAGCTTTGCCCCTGTGCCGGCCCGGGGCGAAATCGCTCCGCTCTGTTCCCGCCCCTCAGACTTGTCCCTCTTTGACAATCGCGTTTTGTTCCAACTGCCTTAGGTCGGATCGACGTAAATTTTTAAAAAAATGTAGGACCTAGTCCGGCCAATCATCCCCGCTCCCCGGGGCCCAACTCCCCCTCGCCTGCAGGGGTCACGGGAAATGCAGGATCTGGCCACCTGGTTGCATCGCTCTTTCAACAGGCAGGCGAACAAGTCACTGGCAGACAGTGGCTTTAGTCAGCCTCTTTGGGTTTGATGGAGCTATTAGGGCGGGGGAGCTATTGGGTCCTTGCTTCCCGAAACCAGTGATGGGGGAGCTTGGTACCTCCGACTGAAGTCCATGAAAAGTTTCCCTATAATTTAAATGGTAGGTCAAGCAGGCCAAGAGTGAACGCGTTTCCCCTCCCCTTTGCTTCCATTCGGGAGCCCTCATCTATACTGGGATTGCACGACAATGTCGCTATGGCTACTAGAGTCCCTGCATTTTAATTCAGCTCTCAGGTGGCAGCACTAGCTGGGGGTTGCGGCTCACTGAGACATCCCCGCGTTGGCAGTAGAAATCACCGATGGATCTGCGCACGCTGCGATTTCGACACGGGCTACACGCGCTTTCCGGACCCGACCTTGGCGGCTTTTCAGCTGCATTGCAAAGCGGTCGAAAGAAACGACAAAGCCTCTCGCCTGTTCCCAGCGTGCTGCTTTTCGCTGATTTTAAAGGAACCCAAATCACCTTCCCCGCCCCGCCAGTACAGACAGTGATTGGAAAGCACGAGCTCACATAAGTCATAACGGACTAGATCTTTTATTGAAAACCCTTTTGTATAGAGCACGCCTAACGCCGGCTCTCAGCGAGAGGCAGAGTTTCCTGGATGTGCTTCAGCGGCTGGAAAAGCCTGGCACCTGGTGTCACTCCGGGGCTCCCGCGGCGCAGAGACACGCGGGTTGCCTGCCCCCGCTACGCAGGGAGGCGATGGACTGCAGCTCCCGCCCGGGCGCCGCGGCTG